CCAGGCCTATGCATATATCTTAAGCACATTCTCATTTTCAAGAAACACATCTTCAATAAAGCACAAGATATTACATCAACAGTTTTAAATTTATTTTATGGACTTTCTGTAATAAAAAGCCAAAAGCAAGCAAACTTAAGACTTGTCTAGCAATTAATATTTTAGTATTTCATGTTATTTAAAAATATTTAGATATTTAATACTTTTTATTACATTTATTAATTTTAGAAAGAAATAGCTAAAATAAGTTAAATTGATTTGTTTAATGGCTAAGAAATTTTTTTCTTTTGAAAATATTTATTTTTTACATATTTGTATTTTAAAAGATGGTCCAGGTAAAAGTTTTTGAAAACCAGGTATTTGCATTTCAAAGGTCTTAAGATTTGGTTTTATACAGTCAATTATATAAGCCTTTTAAGATGAATAAGGGGAGGTTTAGGGAAGGTAAAAGGATTTGTTGGGCTTTTGATGTTTTGGAGCCACACCTCTGGCCCTGTAAAGACTGCATTGTAGCCCTGGCTGGTTTGGCTCAGCAGTTAGAGCAGCCTGCAGACCAAAGAGTCATGGGTTTGATTCCAGCAAGGGCATGTACCTCGGTTGCAGTTTGGTACCCAGCCCAGGTTGGGGTCGTGCGGGAGGCAACCAATCAGTGTGTCTCTCTCACACTGATATCTGTCTGTCTCTCTCCCTCCCTCTAACTCTGTCTGATGATAAATGGGAAAATATCCTTGGGTGAGGATTAAAAAAAAAAAAAAAAAAAGACTGCATTGTAAAACAAGGACAGTTTCATTTATTTAGTTTAACACCTCAACAATGGACTGACAAATCCATTCATCCATTTTTGGAATGTTTCTTCCCATTTGGGTATGTTTTTTTAGTTTGCAGATAGTAGTACATAATTTACGGTTGCCTCAGAGTCATAAAGGCTTGGATACATGGAATCTCTGTCCATTTCCCTTGGGAATGGTAAAACAGGTCTAGCTGTAGCATTAGGTAAATAATTTTCTTTTGCTTCCATGGTGGCAGTTTTAGAATGTCCTGGAATTTTGATAATTGCCAATTTTTAAAATTTCTGTATGACACCTAATAATTTTGTCATTTGTTTTCCATTTTTTATGGACTGCCTAAGAAGTCTTGCCAGGCTGGTGTGGCTCAAGTGTATTGAGCATTGTCCTATGGACTGAGAGGTCCCAGTTCGATTCCCAGTCAGGGCATATACCCAGGTTGCAGGCTCAATCCCCAGTCGGGGGCATGCAGGAGACAGCTGATCGATGTATCTCTCTCACATCAATGTTTCTATCTCTCTCTCTCACTTCCTCTTTCTCTGAAAAATAAATAAAATCATATTTTAAAAAAATAAAATTTTTACACCAAAGGTATAGTTACTATCATTGTAAATATTGGCTATTTTATCTTTGGCCAATTGACAAGCCCAAATTAGAATAATTAGGCTTGCTGGGCATATTTTATTCAGGTAAATAAGAACCTTCAATTATGTTCATCATGGAAGTTACTGAATATCCAGCTAGATAACATTCTTGCTTATTTATTTATTTATTTTTTACTTATTGTTATTGTTGAAAGTATTATAGATGTCCCTCCTTTTTCCCCTATTGCCACCCTCCTTCCTACTCCCGTCCCCTTCCTGCCTTCCCCACACTGTTGTCTGTGTCCATTGATTATGCACATATGCATATAAGTTTTTTGATTTATCTCTTTTCGCCCCTCCCCGCTTCCTTTTGAGGTTTGTCAGTCTCACAACCAATTTGTACTGCTTAATCCCTTCACCTTTTTCACCCATTCCCCCAAACTCTCTCCTATCTGGCAACCAACAAAAATTCTTATCTATGAGTCTTTTTATGTTCTGCTTGTTTGTAGATACAGTTGTTGATAGATATGTATTTATTGCCATTTTATTCATATTTTTTATCTTCTTTGTCTTCAAGAAGACCCTTCAACATTTCAAAATGTTTTGGTTGCCCTGGCCGGTTTGGTTCAGCGGTTAGAGTGTCGGCCCAGAGACCAAAGAGTTGCTGGTTCGATTCCGGTCAAGGGCACGTACCTCGGTTGCGGTTTGGTCCCCAGCCCTGGTAGAAGTCATGCGGGAGGCAACTAATCGATGTGTCTCTCTCACATTAATGTTTCTCTCTCTCTCTATCAGTCCCTCTCACTCTGTCTGAAAATAAAATGGAAAAATATCCTTGGGTGAGGATTTAAAAAAAAACAAAACAAAACACCCTGGCCAATTTTGCTCAGTGGTTAGAGCATCAGCCCATGGACCAATGAGTTGCAGGTTTGATTCTGGCCAAGGGCACGTACCTCGGTTGTGGTTCATCCCTGGCCCTGGTTGGGGTCATGCGGGAGGCAGCCAGTTGATATGTTCCTCTCACATTGATGTTGTACCAGGAACTCGTTCATGGGACAATGCTCAATCTACTGAGCCACACCAGCCAGACAATTCTTGCTTATTTTTAAAGATCTATCTGTAAACCAAATTAAGTAAGCATTATTAAGAAGTTTCCTATATACCAATCCTAGGAATAAGAAGGTGGTCAGTAAGCAAAACATAATTGTGGATGTCTTTATTCTGCAAAGAAAGTAGCAAAGTTGCTAGGTTAAGACATATTAAGTTTAAGTGAAATTAGTTGTAGAAGGCAAGAGCCAGTTGGTTGACAGGAGTGATGAGAATTTAGTAGAATTTAATAGACTGAGGAATGTCTTTTGTTTATACAATATGTCTGTAGCAGAAATGGCTGTCATGCAGGGAGGGAACCCTTTGGCTACTGAGTCTAGTTGCTGACTATAATAACCTATAAATCTATGATGATCTATATTTTTGAGTTAAAATTTCTATAATTAAGATGTCCCAGAGTGGAGACTTTAGATAATTCTTCAGAGATTTTATAGTTTATTTCCCTTCTGGGTTCCATTGAATTGGATTAGGTACATATAGAGGCTGGGCCATTCATGAAAAATTTGGAATCTAGTTGTGATAATATTCAGTCAAACTCAGCCATCCTCTGAGCTACATCTTGTTTTTTTGTGGAAGAGGAAAAAATAGGATTTCTTTGAGTCCTTCAGAGTTAATTAGTAGTCCATCTTTAGATATTAGAACTGAAGTATTTTACCTGAGGTAAACAGAATCAGAGTTTGTTCTTTGATATTTATGTTCCTTTATAGTATAGTTAGTTAGTTGTAGTAATAGGTATAGTGTGTTCTTTTGGGAGTCTAGAAATTTGCTAGAGCATAACACTAATCATCCACATGTAAGATTAGAATGGAATATCTAGGAAATTTAACATAATTTTAAAAATCAGCTTTTAGTATTTAAGACACTAGATGTAACTCTCTGTATATCTCTGGAGCATTACTATCCATGTAAACTTGGAATTTCCCCGGTGAAAGTAAGGACACATTGACTTTTTTTTTTTTACTGGAATGCTGAAAAAGGAACTATATAAATCTATTATTGAAAAATATTGGCAATCATAGGAATAACTGATAATATAGTATGTGGATTTGGAACCACAGGATGTCTAAGAATAATTATTTATAGTTCTGAGATTCTGTATAAATTTCTATTTTTTTCATTTGTTTTTTTATTAGGAGAATTACAGGGGCTCGGGCATGGAATTATAAACTCCCCCTTTTTATGATAATTTTAATTTCTCCTAAACTATTAATAAGAAGGGGAGATGTCTTCTTGTAGTCTTTAGCCGTATGCTTTTTTAATAAATCTAAATTCTATTTCAGTTTTCTATAATCTTTAGAGTGGACAGACTTCTCTATAGGAGTTTTCTTACAAACCTTAGTAATTCTGTTGCTTTTTTCTCCCAGAAACCAGTAGGTATAGTAATTGGAATAGGTTAGAATAGCCAGGATGACATGTTTTAACAGTTAAAATTCTTTGCAATCCCATCAGGGTCCTGGAAAAAATTGGGAACAATTGCTTGTTCCTCTTTAGCTGGGACCAGCTTTTTTCCAAAGGGCGCTGTTAGAATTCCTATTCTCATTTTCCCTTAATTTAGTAGGGAGTGGTGGTGGAGGACATTGAAGGGGAATGAAGAAGTGAGGGGAAGGAATAAGGAAGCTTAGAGAGCAAAGGATATAGTGGAGGAGCTATAGAAGGGGGAAGAATGAGGTGTAGGCATTTATTAGCTTCAGTATAGTTCAGAGACAGTCTGTAAAATTTCTTATTAATTTTCCTTTTTTTTTTTTTTTTAAAGAGAAAGAATTTATGTTTTTCCTTAGAAACTTCTAATTTCCAAATTAAGATATGCTTCCCATTCATTCATTCAGTTTAATTTTAGAGTGGGCACTTTTCTAATTTTGCATGCAAAAAGTTAATTTAGACGCCCAAAGATAACTGCATTTTAGCCATTTTAAGTTGATATTGTCTAGTTAAATATTTCCACTTCTGTAAAGCACTTGTAAGTAAAGGCTTCCTATCAGGAATATTAAGGAGGACTGGGGTATGGGAGTTCCCAGCCTTGGAGGCACAACTTCCCATGTTGATTTTAGGGTGTTTTTTGTTTTTGTATCTGCAGAGTCTGAGCAAATTTTCTAGGGGTTTATATAGTGGGTCAAAGTATGCTGCTTATGGGTTGAGCTCCATGAGCTTTCACCCCTCTTCTATGTCTCCATTTCTCTCCTGGCCTCCTAAAACAACCGGGAGGGCTTGGGGAGCTGGGTGACCAATACTCATGGGCATTCCCCCAGAAGAGCCAGTCATTTTAATTACAGTTGAGTTGGAATTTCCCTTTGGGGCTCTTGCATATTTTGAAGAATAACCTCTGACACCTCCACAAAGATTCTTAGTTGCCTAAGAACATCCGAAATTCAGGCTGGAGGGAGGACGTGCTCCTTTATTTTTGGAGCTGAATGAGTTCAACTCTTATTTATACAGTGAAGGTTTTTATTCAGACTCTCAGAAAGCAATTCCAATAGAAAAGCCAGAGTTAAAAATCATTCACCCATTTTTTTCTCCTATCTTGTCTTAGCCTGGTTCTGTCAACCCTTAGCCTTAGTTCCACCTTGCAGATTTAAAAATACAGTTCAAATAAAGTCAACCCTCTACCACAAGCAAGGGAAGATCCTGGATCCAGGAGACAATTCACCCAAGTTTACCCACTGCAACAGGGAGCCGGCAGGCTCAATGAGCCCTTTGCTGGATCCTAGTGCCAGGTCTGGGTCCACAGTGTGGTCCTGGGTGAGCTTCTTTGGAATCCTACCAACTATGCCAAGTAAATGTCAATGTAAGAAATATTCAAACCTGTGAAGAATTTTTGTGAGTTTATTTGAGCCAAACTGTTGAAAATTGCCAGGAAGCAAAATCTCAACAGATTGTGATACTGCTACAGAAAATGTCAGTTTTTTACCTTATTTTATATATTACAATTAAAAGAGGAGACATAAGTGGGTTACCTGAAATTTATCAGTGATAGATAAGGGAGGTGGGAGAAAGCAAAGTGGTGAAACCTCTGGTCTTGGATAAAAAGTAAAATGATAGACACATATTTCTTTCACATAGGTGGGTATAGGGTTGTTAACAGTCAACAATTAATAATAATGAGGGGATTTGTGGCCTTCACAGAGCAGTGCCTATATTTTGAGGGGTTTGGAAAAAGGAAAATTACTTTGACATTCCAAAGATATGTTATTTTGGACGCAAAAAGACAGTATACAGGCTCAGTTAATGTAAAGGTGAGCTTTGTCAGGGAAGATGCTGGCCTAGGACATGACTACCCACCATAAACTGCTTTTAGTTAAAAAGTTTTAATTTCAGACTGTCCTTTGTGTTTATTTTAGGTATCTGAGTTTGTAAGACTGCCATATAGGCACCTCTGAGCTTGTCAGGTTAAACATGTGACCCTTTTCATCTACACTTCATATAGCAATGAAAACTAGGGACTATTGATTTCTAAACTTGGTACCAGTGGTTTTCTATGGCATTTTTGATATATTACTAACTCAGTTTTCTATTTTTGGAATGAAATAAAATTGACTTACCTGAACTGGGCAGGTAAGGATTAATTTAGTCTCTGAGATATACTATCATGAAAAAAATCATATGAAATTGTTGTAGATTTTTCAGTTTTTACCAGTTGCCTCTACTGCTAGTGAAAGTGAAGTGTTTAGTGGTGTTGTGTTCTGATGGCCTGCCAGGAAACAGTTATCACTTAATTTCACACTGTGAACATGTTTAATTCAATGTTTTCAAAGTATGATCCTTAGACAATAGCATAGTAATTACCAGGGGGGAATTTGTTAAAAATGGAAGATTCTTAAGCCCCAGTACACAGTCAGTGGATCAGAATATTTTGGAAGTTGGCCCAGAAACTGACATTTCTAAGCCAACTACCAATTATTTTTATATAGGCTAAAATTTGAGAACTGTATATTTTTTTAAATCAAAGTTTGACTGTTTACTTGATTGCTTTCAGACCCAGGCCTATGTAGTCCTTTTGTCTGTTTTTATAAAGCATGATCAGAATCTAATAAGAGAGGCCATTATGACTTACTTCCTGGTAAAAAGATGAAGGATAGTATTAAAACCAGGAATTCCTTTAGCTTTAAGATTTAAATAATAATTTTTTTGGTTATAAAAATAAGATGTGCCCATTCTGAAATATTATGAAAATTTAGGTAATTATAGGATGATAATCATCTGTAATACTGTTTCCTGGAGATAAGCATTATTCAAATTTTGATATGTTTCTTTCCTATATCTTTTTCTCCATTTATCCCTCCTGTCTTCCTTTTCTTTTCTTTTTTTTTTTTTTTTTAATCCTCACCTGAGGACACTTTTCCATTTTTTGCACAGACAGAGTGGGAGGGAGAGAGAGGAAGGAAGAGAGAGAGAGAAACATCGACGTGAAGGGACACATCGAGTGGCTGCCACCCGCACGACCAACCAGGGTCGGGGACAAACTGCAACCGAAGTACGTGCCCTTAGCGGGAACCGAACCCGGGTCTCTCGGGACCGCAGGCCGACGCTCTAACCGCTGAGCCAAACTGGCCAGGGCACTGTCTTCCTTTTCTTTGCCTTTATGAAAAACGACATTTGGGGTTTTTATCCTGCCTTTTTTCATACCTAACAGATAAGCATTTTACCACAGTATTAAGCTGTTTTTCACAAACATAACTTTTAGTTTCTGCATTATATTCTGTCATATGGGTGTATCTTAATTTATTTAACTATCCCCCTGTTATTGGATGTTTAGGTTGTTTTCAGTTATTTTTGTGAAAAGATGTCTTTCTGTTTAAAATTTTGTCTGACTCTAATTACTTTCCTTAGGATAGGGTTATATAGTATTCAATTTTTTTTTGGTCAAAGGGCATAAATATTATTAAACTCTGTTGCATATTTCCCAATTATTTTGAGAATAGTGTTTATTCCAGTGTTTGCTTCCACATATACTTATGAAAATGCCAGAAATAAGCAAATACTATTTTTTTAAAGTTAATTTGTTAAGAAAAGCCTAGTTAGTAATTGTTTTAATTAGAATATCTTTGATTATTAATGAGTTGAACATTTGTGCATTGTTTATCAGCTTTGACTTTAATTTTTTAACTAACCCAAATTTTCCATTTTGTTTCAGGTCTTCTCTGTCGGTTGAAATGTCTATGATTATATCTGCCTCAGTCATTCGTGTCAGAGATGGACTGCCACTTTCTGCTTCTACTGACAATGAACAAGGCACAGGCGTGCAGGAGTGCAGAAAGTATTTTAAAATGCTCTCAAGGAAACTTGCTCAGCTTCCTGATAGATGTACACTGAAAACTGGACATTATAACATAAAGTAAGAGTTTAGTTTGCTTCATGGAATCACTTGCTCAGTGGTTGTCATTTTAATGAAATTTAAGTGGTTAAAATAGAAATTAGTGTTTGTTTAGTTTAGGAACACTTGTTTGAGTCAAGAATCATGTGGTTCTGAAGTTATACTAAATAGTAGTCATCATTTCATCACCTTTTTAAACATCTGGCTCTAGAAAAATTTATTGTTTTGCACATCTCAGATATGCCATCTTATAAGTTGATCACTAGGTATTTATTGGTGTTCTTAACATGCCCAGGCAAAATGTAATGGGAAATATAAAAAAAAATCTTACATTATATCTGCCTTCAAAAAATTTGTTTATATATTCTAGTGAGAGGGGATAGCATTCATTACTATTTATTGTATATAAAGAAAGTAACATTGGGCAATAGGATACAGAGTGACTTTATGGTGGTCAAGGGTCTCACTGAGAGCAGAGACCTGAAAGATTAGAAAGAAGGCAGTCATACAAAGGATGCTATGGATGAAGAGCACGGCCATGGTAACCACTAAGGCGGAAGACCTTCAGTACGGATCAAGGCATGGAGAGAAGACTAGAGATGCTGAAGCAATATGGACAATTAATAGAGTAGCAGAAGGTGAGGTCAGAAAGGTAGGAATGGGACAGGTAATGTAGGGCCTTCCAGGCTGTGAGAAGGAGTTTGGATTGATTCTAATATAATAGGAAGCAATTGAAGAGTTTTAAGACAGAGAATTATATAATCTGATTCTGGCTTTGAGTAGATCATCTGGTTGTTCTATGAAGAATGGGCTCTAAAGGAGAAAGAGAAAAAGCAGAGAGATCATTTAGGAGACTTTTAGAAAAGTTCAGGCAGAGGTGATTCTAATAACTTGAATGAGGGTGGTAATGATGAGAAGTGGTATTGTGGCTATATTTTGGGAGTAGCACCAACAAATCTTCCTTATGGATTGAACTGGGATGTAAGGAAAAGAGAAGAATCAAGAGTCACCTCTAGATTTTTGCCCTGAGGATCTGCATAGATAATAGGGTTGAAATGAGCAAGACTAGAAATAAATGTTTCAGTGGTAAAAACCAAGAGGTCTGTTTGGACATGGTAAGTCTGACATGCCCATTAGACATCCATGAGGCACTGTCACATAGGTAGCTGGATGTGTAAATCTAAAGTTTAGTGAAAGAAGGACAAGGATGGAGATTTAGATTTGGAGGTCACCTTATGGTTTGTAATTAAAACCATGGGAATAGATAAGACCACCTTGGAGAGCATTCACATGAAACAATTAGATTATAGTTAACTCCTGAACAGTTTGATACTGATTGTGCACACAGTCGGAAATCAGATAAGAACAAGGTCTGTATGGGTTATAATGAAGAGCAAGAGGGCTTCCTTATTGAGAAAAGCCATGAACAATCTCTAGAACAATTAGTAAGATTTGGCTAAGGCAGGGAGGAGAGGCAGAATAAAGAATGTGACCTCTGAGGTATCACCTCACACCTGTCAGAATGGCCACCATCAACAAATCATCAAACAAGTGTTGGCGAGGGTGTGGAGAAAAGGAGACTCTAGTACACTGCTGGTGGGAATGCAGACTGGTGCAGCCACTGTGGAAAACAATATGGTGTTACCTCAAAAAATTAAAAATTGAACTTTCATTTGACCCAGTGATCCCGCTTCTAGGAATATACCCTAAGAAGCCTGAAACACCAATCAGAAAGAATATATGTACCCCCATGTTCATAGCAGCACTATTTACAATAGCTAAGATCTGGAAACAGCCCAAGTGTCCATCAGTAGACGAATGGATAAGAAAGCAGTGGTACATATACACAATGGAGTACTATGCAGCTGTAAGAAAGAAAGATCTCTTATCCTTTGAGATGACATGGAGGGACCTAGAAAGTATTATCCTAAGTGAAACAAGCCAAGCAGAAAAAGACAAATAACCACATGATCTCACTTATATATGGAATATAATGAATATAACAGTCTGAGGAATAGGGTAGACCCAGAAACACGGAAGTAGGGTACAGACTGACAACCCTCAGAAGAGGGAGTGGTGGGGGGTGGGAAGAGATAAACCACAGAACTTATATGCATGTATGCATAACCAATGGACATGGAGAACAAAGCCGGGGACGGGGCGGGGAGGACGGGGTGGAGGGTGTCAATGGGGTATAAAAGGAGAAACATCTGTAACAAAAATAAAATTAAAAAAAAAAAAAGAGTGATAGAAAAATACAGCAACACTAGTAACAGTTCAAAGGTAGTTTTACTTTCTTATAACATTAGTTACAACATAAAAAATATGCCAGAGCCTGTTCTGTTTTAAGCATCCAATATGATGAGATACTCACAGGCATAAACTTATAAGATAATTCATATACTCAAAATAATAAAATATGGTGACTATTACTTAGATTAAAAAAAAAAAGAATGTGACCTCCCTGGCCGGTATGGTTCAGCAGTTGGAGCTTTGGCCTGCGGACCAGAGTCCAGGGTTCAGTTTTCGCTAGGGGCATGTACCAAAAAAAAAGAATGTGACTGTCAGCATGGTGGTCTCTTAAACTGCTTGGCTCTGTGAAGTGAATGGTGATGTAGGGATACTTGTGGGAAACGAGATAGTACTGTGGTACCAGATCCTGGATTCCTCTGAAAGTTTAGATTGACAGATGTTATTTTGATGTAGTAGGTTACAGGAAGCTGTTACCGTAGGTTGGAGGGAAGTGACTTGATTAAAAAAACAGTGCTGAGACAGTGGAATATAGGATGAAATGGAACGTCTGAAGTTATAATTAAGGCCCAAACTAGTAAAATACAAGTGCAAATGTAAAAGAAAATGCCAGCCATAAAACATATAAAAAGAAGAAATGGTTAAGCCTGATAAAATGGAATACTAGAGATGAGGAGAAAGAAGAAACAAAGAAGACTGAATTGGACGGAATGAGGTCTTTGGAAAGGGTTGCTTATGGACTAAGGAAGGGAGGGTGGTGAGGAAGGAGAGAGCAAGATAATGAAGCTCCATTTTGAGCATTTAATTAAAGTTATGACAAGGCAGTCCAGTGGACTGGGATAGAGATTTTGGAATCATTCATATAGAAGTTGAAACTGAGAGTAGAAATACAGAGTTTCTGAGAGGCCCAGAACAGAACTTTAGGGAATGTCCATAATTGCTTGGATCACCTGAGTAATGGTGAGATAATGAGCTGTTATTTTTAATTGGGTTTTCTGAGGGTTTAACTACATAATGGTGGTGGTGATGGTGAGTATATCTAAAATAATGTCTTAGCCTACACCTATTTCCTGGAAGAAAAACTTGAAACCATTTAATATTTTATTTAATAGTCAGAGGCTCTTTGAGTTCCCTGGGTTATTCTAAGTTTTAGTTATTGTTATTGTATAATGCTGTAGACAGATGTCAACATTATAGAAGATTGGTTTGTATGTAGTATATTAATACTGGCTGACATCCTGCACTTAAACACACACACAAAGACACACACACACTCACACACTTAATCAACTTTTTTTTTTATCCTCACCTGAGGACATTTTTGCATTTATTTTCAGATAGAGCGGGAGGGAGACAGGGAGGAAGAGAGAGAAACATCAATACGAGAGAGACACATTGACAGGCTGCCACCCACATGACCCCCAACTGGGGCTGGGGACAAACTGCAACCAAGATAAGTGCCCTTAGCAGGATCCAAACCTGGGTCTCTCTGGTCCATGGGCTGACGCTCTAACCGCTGAGCCAAACCGGACTTAACTTGTTTTTGCAAATGTTTTCTATTTCTCTACCTTATCCTCTCAAAAGTTAGAGTAGAATGCAGTAACATTTATAACACCCCTCTAATTCTATGTTCCAAAAATAAAATTTAAGAATACAGGTAAGAGAATTGTATGAAGGAAAAAAATAAAAATAGGAGAGTAATACACTGGAATAACATTTCCATTTGGAGATACAAACATTTCCTTTTGGAGATATAAATAATTTATTTTTTAATTTACAGTCCATTCATGTTTAGAAAGGGCTACAAATATTCCTTTGAGCTTCCATGTAGCCAAAACAAAAGGGGATAATGGATCATATTTAGGATTCACAGTGTCCATTGAATCAAAACATTGTTTTTCATGTTACTGATGTACATAAAAAGGGACAAACATAACAATGAGCTTTTTATGATTTTTCTTATAATATTCCTTAGTGTAAGGAAATGGCATGATGAAAAAAGTAATTTTATAAGAAAGTTAGGAGTGGGATGAATCATCAGAGGTCTAATCTGGCCTGATTTTCTTTTTTTCTTTTTTTTTTTATCCTTACCCGAGGACACTTTTCCATTTTTTTGGTTCAGATAGAGTGGGAGGGAGAGAGAGGAAGAGAGAGAGAGAGAGAGAAACATCGATGTGAAAGGGACACATCAAGGACTGCCACTGGCACAACCCCAGGGCCGGGGACTAACTGCAACCGAGGTACATGCCCTTAGCTGGAACCAAACCCGGATCTCTCGGGACCACAGGCTGACGCTCTAACTGCTGAGCCAAACCGGCCAGGGCTAATCTGGCCCGATTTAAGGAAACAGTTTAGAAATGTCTAAAGCAGCAGTTCTCAATTCATGGGTCGCGACACCTTTGGGAGTTGAACGACCCTTTCACAAGGGTCACTTAAGACCATCAGAAAACATACATTTCTGATGGTGATTCATAACAGTAGCAAAATTACAGTTAAGAGGCAACAAAAATAATTTTATGGTTGGGGGTCAACACAACATGAGGAATTGTATTAAAAGTTCGCGGCATTAGGAAGGTTGAGAACCACTTGTCTAAAGGAATACATAGGTTACATGACCTTCAGAACCACACATAGAAAAGCCTCGATGCATATTATTTTTGTAGCCAAATTTGAAGAAAGGATTGAACAATAGAGAATTTTTAGTTCTACTTCCTGACAGGAGTCTCGATTTTATATATATACAGATATATATCCATCTATCTATCTATCTA